AGGGTCTCACTATGTGGTCTCACTATGTGGCCCAGAACACCCTAGGTAGACCAGGCTAAATTTGAACTCAGCTCCTCCTGTTTCTGCCTCACCAGTGCTGGTATTCAAAGCAGGAAGCTGACCTATGGGCTTCTGGGGACTCTGCAGTGTCTGCATCCCACCTTCCCCTTGGAGTGCTGGGATTCCAGGTGCCTGTGCCGGGCTCTGTGTGGATGGCCAACCGGCCAAGCACCGCTCTGCGCTCCAGCCTTCTGAGCTGTTCCATGTCTGCAAGGACAGCAGCCACCTGGTAAATCTGGAGGGGCAGGCTTTTCCTCCATCCCACCAAGCAGCTTGGGGCAGGGTCGGGGGGGGGGGGGAGCTTATTTGGGCTCAGAATTCCAGGTTTACAGTCCACTGCTGCAGGAAAATCAAGGTGGCAGGAGCTAGAAGCTGCTGATGACAAGACATCCACCAAGCAGTGAGACAGGACTGCATGGTGCTCAGTTTCTCACTTTTGCTCAGCCCAGGACCCCGGGAATGTGCCCTTCACCTGCCCGCATCAATTAAGGCAACCAAGACAATCACTCACAGCCATCCCACAGGCCTCTTGAGACTCTCTAGCAAGGGAGTCAAGGCTGTATCAGGTTGACAATTAAAGCTGACCATTACAGGGCCCAACTACTCCCTGAATTTGAAGTGGTGGAGGCAGGTATCCATCCCAGTGGTTAAGGCCAGGACCTGTCATCCCTCGTGGACTGACTCTAACCTTTAAGTTTTATTTATTTGTGCATATGTTTGTTTATTAGTGTGTGTCTATGTGCATGTATGAATACAGGTGCCCTCAGAGTTGGGAAGAGTGTGTAGAATCCCCTGGCTGGAGTCACAGGTGCTGCCTGATGTGAGTGCTGGGTACTGAACCCTGTCCTCTAGAAATTCAGCAAGCACTCTGAAGCACTGAGCCATTCATCCACCCTAACTCATTAAAAAAAAAAAAGTTATAACGGGCTTATGAACACTTCCCTGTTGGCTAAGCACCCTCCGGATGGGGCCTCCTGACATACGGCCTTAGCTTGAGACACAACTGACTTGGCATAATGACGAAAATTCAACTTTCAGAAGCAAAGGCTGCAGCTCCTCTCTGGCTTCTTCCGCTGTCAGTCACCACCAGACCAGTTCCTTAGATGGTCAGTCAGTCCCCTTATTACACATACCAGCGGAACCAGGGCAGTATAGTGCTCCGTATAAATGTGAAAGGGCAGTTCCTACACACGGAGGGGAGGGGGGCACAGGCTCGGCGTCCCTAAGAAAGTGCACCTATACAGTTTGCCTTGGGAGAGTCCGCAGGCGCTAGCGAGCCCCTGTTGCGCGTCGCCTCCAAACTTTACGGTAAGCGCGGAGCGCAGGACGACCACGTGGCGGCGAAACACCGGCCGGGCGGGAATGCACGGAATGCGCGGTGCGGCCTCACGCTCTCCCAGCCGTGACCCCGGGGCTCCCGGCGCTCGTTTGTGGGACCGCTGAACCCAGCAAAGGGGTCCGCCCGCGTGTCCTGCCACCAAGAACCACTAGAGAGCAGGGACCCTGGGAAGGGCTCAGAATGTGAACCTAGATGACCTTTCCAGAACCTGAGGCTAAGTTTGCCCTTCCTGGTTGGGTCCCGCCACAGCCGGTAACCCGAGATCTGGAACCCGCAGAGCCTCCTCCCCGCCTCCGCCTAAAACCCTCACTGTTCCCCACTGGTCTAGATTAAGAATGAAAACGCCTAGGTTTTGCAGGAAGCAGGACAGAGAGGCTCTGCCCCCTGACAACCTTCGGGGTGCAGAGGGACCAATGCTGGAGGCGCGGTGCCCCCTAGCTCCAGCAGCTGGGCCCTAGGCCCTAGGGCTCGCTCACCCTCGATTGGGCCACGTGGTCCTGCCTGGTCACGGGTAGCCCACACTGATCCAATCGTGAGGGTTTTCTTCTCCACCTTGGTCCACGCTCCCCACCACTTGATCTGGGACGAGACGTGACCCAGAGCGATATAAAGTCGACAAATCCCAAAAGGACTTTGGGGTTCGGACTGCTCAAGGCATCTGTGATGGAGGCCGAGCAGCTACCCCTACCTAAAGTTACAGCTCCACCCTCGGGGTCTCTTTGCTCCGGGGGGTTGGGTATGGGGACTGAAACTGACTTGGAAATGCAAGCTCCGGAAGATGGGATGTTGCTGTCCCTGCGTGTACATGATGAGCCGAGAATACACACCCGTCCTTAGCTTAAGGGTGCCTGGGATCAGCTCAGGGTAACCTAGGTGGAACAGCCGCGTAGCACGTGGGCTGCCGTGCGAGCTCCAAAACGCCTGCAGGGTGCGGGGAGGGGAACTGCATTGTCCCGGGAACCTTGGGGCCAATATTCGGAAGCGTTTTCCAGAGCGACTTTTAAAGGCTAAATTAACAATGGCTAAATGGAACAGAAGCAGCGAAGTCCTTTCAAGTTGCCGCCATGTATACAGGTGACCCCACCTAGGTGCGTCTGCTCACTACTGCCCGGTCCTCTTCCGCTGAGGGCCTGCTGCCGGAGGCTCAGGATTGTCTCCCCCCCCCCCCCCACCTTCTGCCAGAGCCCCGAGCTAGGCGGCGCGGGTTCCTCAATGAACACGCTCCCTTCCCCCTCTCAATGAAGTTCCCACATCTAGGGACGGTGGCAAGTCTACGGGAATCCGCGCTCTCTCTCGGGAACCCTGGCCTAGGGCGAAGGGTCGAGGAGGGAGGAAATCGGAAAGGGGATTAAAGTTACTTTGAGATTTTCTTTCCAAATAACGTAGTCCCCACTCGATTGGACGAGTGGCCTTTTGTCTCCCAAAAGGTCACCGAAAATAAGCGCAGAACACTTTAAGTGAGCCCAGAGCGTGCAGTTCCTGCTTTGGGGTGGTGGTTTTTTTTGTTTGTTTGTTTGGTTGGTGGAGTGTTTGCCAATGTAAAAGTTAAAATTGCAAGAGAAAAGTGTATGTTAAATTACTTTTTCGTTGGAAAATAAAAATTAAAAATCCAAACGTTTTGCCTGAGATTCTTAAAGCAATTGGCCCGGAAAGAACCCTGAACTACTGCCCCCCTCTAGTGCTCCGGAGCTGGCCGAACGGGGTTCCCCGGATGGGGGATGGGCGCTTCTAGCCGGGTCCCAAATTCCTGCGCTTCCCCCACGGGTTCCTGGACGGCTCCTCTGCACGCTCTCCGACCGGACTTGCACTTTTGCGCCCGTCCCTGAGCGCACAGATCAACGAAGTTCCTCGTGGAGATCTGCCCCGTCCGCCTAGTAACAGCGCTGCGTCCGGATTGGCTCATGCTAATTCCAGTTTCCTGATCTTTCCCGCGGTGGTGGTGGTGGGGGTGCAGGCTGCGGGTCGTGAGCTCGTGCGGCCGGGTGGGCGAGCCCCTTTATGCCCCGCTGCCCTCGATGGCGCACCCTGGCTAGGCCCGCGTGCTCCGCTTGCAGGCACTCAGCCGCGGGTGATAGTGCGCAGCCCCATAAATCATGCTTACTGCCGCCCGGTAGGGATTTTATGAATGAAAAGGCTGCCGGGCCGCCCTCGTGCTCAGGCTGAGGCTCCCAGACTTGGCGGGGCCTGTGGCCAGAGCAAGCGTGGGCGCACTGCCCGGGCCACCCACCACCTTCAGAGCTGCAATGGGATCACTGTCCCACAGGACCTAGATATTAGGGACCCCAATGTCGGGGGAGGAGGAGCGGGTAGAATGGGATCCGAAGATGATGAGCGTGTTCGCGTCTTGCATGTAACCTGTCCCCCTTGAGCTTTTTTTTTTTTTTTTTTTTTACCAGTTTCGTCCATTAATTCTTGGGGACACGAAACTATTACAGGGAAAATATGTGACTAGTTCGCCTGACTGGGGTCGGGATTGTGAAAACATTTTAAAGATAAGGGCATTAAATAATGGGCCAAAGTGGTGGGAGCCCTTCATCCTAAAAAACTTTTATTTGACTAAATATTAGAGAAGCCTGGGAATCCATTCGTGTAACCACGAACATCTATCTATAGGTTTCTTTTAAATATATCGGAGCACACACTTTAATTGATTCTGACCAGCCCCCCAGGAACTCACAAATGCGGCCCCAGTTGCTGTTCTAAAGGTGGAGGGACGGCCACACCCCCAACAAAGCCAATCGGAAAGCTTCCGGTGGTCTGGTTCCTGGCAAAGCGACTAATACTTGCAGCGATTTAGTTTTCTTAATTAAAAAATAAATTAGGAAAGAGCCCATCGTGTCTCAGCCTTTCCTTAAAAGGTTTATTTTTCTTGGGTAAATCGCCCGCACTGGAGGACCCTGGCCAGAATGGACTGGTCACCGTAGGAATCAAATCGAAGGTACCCCCACCCCCGGTGACGAGGAATGGATGAAGGAAATAATGGCCACCATCTTGAGCTGTTTCTGGGATTTTTGAGGTTTTATTTTATTTTTGAGCGAGAGCATGCTAGGCTGGGAACCCTTTAAAGTTCAGAGCTGCATCTCTGGCTCTTTGCAACGACCCCCACGGCAATAGGATGGTGCCTGCCTGCACCGGAGCTTAGGGCTGGTCCGGCATCTTCGCGTGTTAAACAGTTCCTGAATTTTACACGTGTTGATGAAATTAATTTCTAAGCAATCAGTCCGCCCGTGGGTGCCCTCGTGGCGTCCTCGGAAACGTGTCCTTGCGTCCCCAGGATGCCCTATCCATTCAGTCTTCCCTAGTTTGCGTGTGGCCTGGCCTCCCTCCTAGCTGTCCGGTCCAAAGTCAGCACCACCCCACCTCCACAGGTCTCGGAGGACCCACTTGGGTAAAGAAGACACCCCCACCACCACCCTTGCACCGCTCTTTCTTAGCTCTAAGAGAAGCAGTCCGAGCAATTTGCATATCTACGAAGGTCGAGCTGGGGGGGGGGGGCGTTGGGCTAGTCCCCCACGCGGCTCGCAGCTCCCAAGCCCCCTCCCCCTGCGCCCGCCTCGGCCCTCCCCCTCCCTTTCTCTGCCTGGCTTTGATCTCTGCTTAACAACAGTAACGTCACACGGACTACAGGGGAGTTTTGTTGAAGTTGCAAAGTCCTGCAGCCTCCAGAGGGCTGTCGGCGCAGTAGCAGAGAGCAGCAGATTCCGCGCGCTCCGGAGACCGGCCGTAGAGCGCCAGGCAGAGCGCGCCAGCAGCAGCAGCCACCGGAGCCCAACCCGGACCACAGCCCTCCCCAGGCGGCCGCGCCATGGAACACCAGCTCCTGTGCTGCGAAGTGGAAACCATCCGCCGTGCGTACCCTGACACCAACCTCCTCAACGACCGGGTGCTGCGAGCCATGCTCAAGACCGAGGAGACCTGCGCGCCCTCCGTGTCTTACTTCAAGTGCGTGCAGAGGGAGATTGTGCCGTCCATGCGGAAAATCGTGGCCACCTGGATGCTGGAGGTGAGGGGCTACAGGTTACTGGCTTGGGACCCCTTGGCAACTTATTGCCCCCACTCACACTCTTCCCTTCCAACACGGAGTTTTCCCGGTGTGTTGCTAGGAAAACGGATTCTCAAAATAAATAGATACTGCGGGTCTCTTTGACCGAGAAAGGTGTAGGAGTTGGGATGATGGGGATTCCATTTCCTGGTGGGGGGCAGTCGGGGAGGAGTGCCTTCAAGGGAGGACGGTGCCAGAGTGTGCCAGGGACACCTCAGAGGGTGCGGACTGGGCGCCTTTTGTGGCCCCCGTTAGCGCCCCATTCCTGCTGCGCCTCGGCAGTGGCCGCCTCAGCGCGTAGCCGCCAGCTCGGGGGGGAGGGGGCATAGATTTGATTTTTAAATTAATATCCGTGGACACGTATGCAAGGGCCGCTCGTGCCAGTATTATGCGCCATCTTTGCTCCTTTATTGCAAAGCAAAAGTGTTTATTAATAATTGGGGGCAGGGCGGAGAGCGGCGGCAGGAGTGCTGGGACAGGCACGAGGGGCCTCGCGGCCACCAGAAATCACTAAACAGGACATAGCGAGGGATATTTGGGGGGACCCTTTGTTTAAGCAGCGGACCCCTGGACACCTCCACACAGGCTGTCTGGCCCAGAGAGCACGCCAGTCTGCAAGGTCGCGTGGCCCCCTAGTTGCTAGAGATTAACTGTGGTCCTCGCGGGTCTGCACTTGGGGGGGGGGGTACCTACCCAAGTCAAGCCGGGAGACCAAAGCACGTTTTCAGATATTTAGCAAAAGTCTCAAAGGTCCCAAAATATTTTTAAATAATTTCTAAAATGCGGCATGGTGCCCTTGCAGAGGCAAACGGCACCCGAACCCAGCAAAAGGGGGGCCCCGAGAGTTTGAGTTGCTGGGGCTCACTCTCCAACGTACACCGAGCTCCTGACCCTCGGGTTGGATTAAGGGTCGCCCGATGATTATTTTCGGGCCGTTTTTAGGCACCTAGTTATTTTTTTAATATTTTTAAATATTTTTTGAAAAGATGACGTCTGGGAAATGAGGCGCGGCGGCCTGGGACGCCACCTTTGTGTCTCGCGTGCGCGCGAGCGGCGCCCAACCCCCGGCGTCCTGCCAGCCCCGCGGTGGGATTCCCTGGCCTGCGACCTTCTAATTTCAACATGGGTCGGGGTCCCCGCGGACACTCACTGCTGCTGAGCTCCACCGAGTCAGCTGCCCAGGAACTTTCCCTTTCAGTTTCAGGGTGGGTGAGTACTGGGCACCCGCGCATCCCCTGGAGTTTGCCACCGCGACCCCTTTTTTCCCCAGCGAACCCACGAACCCATTCACTGTGTAATCTAGAATAGGGATGCAGAGTCACATACGAGCGACCCCACCCCTATCCCCGTTGACGGTCATGCTCCGGGTCCCCGCAGGTCTGCGAGGAGCAGAAGTGCGAAGAGGAGGTCTTCCCGCTGGCCATGAACTACCTGGACCGCTTTCTGTCGCTGGAGCCCCTGAAGAAGAGCCGCCTGCAGCTGCTGGGGGCCACGTGCATGTTCGTGGCCTCCAAGATGAAGGAGACCATTCCCCTGACAGCCGAGAAGTTGTGCATCTACACTGACAACTCTATCCAGCCGGAGGAGCTGCTGGTAACCCCACCACCCGCGATCCCTCATTAGCTGCACGACTCTTGGGTGGTGGGAGATGCAAGTGACAGGAGGCCGAGCCAGCCTCGGACAGACCTCCAGCCCCATGGAAGTCACCCACACTGCACGACACCGAAGTGGCAGTGGGAAGAATCCCAAACCCTCAGAATTCTACCTCTGTGGTCCCCCTCTCCTCCTGGACTCCCCACCATGTCTGCGGTGAAGCCATTCTGAAATGTGGTCTGTGTGCGCCCCCTTGCGGCGCTTGAGCCACAGCCCAGGCCGTGGTGTGTGTGTGGGGTCTTTTTGTCTAGCGCATGTTGTTGCCCACTTGTTAGTTTTTCTGCATTTTGTTCTTTATCTATCTGTGGTGCCTGGTTGTCCCCACTCTTTAAACCTCCCCCCAACCGGCCTGCCCTCCTATTGACCTTGTTCCCCATTTTCTGCAGCAAATGGAACTGCTTCTGGTGAACAAGCTCAAATGGAACCTGGCTGCCATGACTCCCCACGATTTCATCGAACACTTCCTCTCCAAAATGCCAGAGGCGGATGAGAACAAGCAGATCATCCGCAAGCATGCGCAAACCTTTGTGGCCCTCTGTGCCACAGGTAGGGCCCCCACCTCCACTCTTCCCCAGGAGATCTCAGGCTCCTTGTGATTCCCTGGCTAATGCCTCTTTCCTTGCTGTCTGTTCTGTGCCACGTGATGGTCACAGGCACGCCTAGAAGGGGGTCCCCTCATCTCTGTTCTAAGCCCAGGGTGTGGGTAGCTTGTTGGGGATAGATGGTGGGGCAGGGGGCACATTGAAGGACAAACGGGATGACCCAGCCTCCCTATCCCATGCTTTCTGAAAAGGTTTTTGCCCCTGCTCCTGGGCTGTTTGCCCTCACCTACCTTCTGTCTTTAAGCAGCCCCAGCTATAGGGGTAAGGGTAGGGGTTCCTGGTTTCTCCCAGCCTTGACCACCTGTCAGGGGTGGAACAAATGGCCGCAGTGCCAGCCCCACGTGCTACAGTACAGTCCCAGTACAGGGTGACCAGCTCAGGAGTTTAGAGAGCCTCTTTCCCCACCCCACCCCCAACCAGGGCTGCTACAGGACAGTTCGTTTTCACAGGACCCTGGGAGGGCTGGTTGGAAGCAGAGAGACGAGGACCTCCGGGTGGTTCCTCTAAGGGACCCAACCTGGCCCAGAACTCAGGGTGGACAGACATGCTGGAACACAACACACATAGACACCCTGCTACCTCTGGGTGGTCCCAGTACTACATCTGACAGCTGCTCCCTGCCCAGGAGGCTTAGAGGTGCTGAAGGGGTCCAGCACTCCCCCACCGCTTAGGATCCCCCCACCCAGGTAGCCCTGACCGCCCCAGCTGCTACATCTGTTTGGAGCTCAAGCTGGGCGACCTGTAGCATGGCCAAAAGGCAACGTGGTATAAGCAGGGCATGTAGTGTCTTCTTCCACCTGCCGTCTCTGGCACCTTCTCAGGTCTGGCAGCCCCCGTGGCTAGTGTTCCTACACCACTGTGGTGGGTATGAAAATTTGGGGATTCTAGCCTCCCAGCTACCTGCTGAGGGTGCCAGCCCCTCCCCAGAGGCCTACTAAGCAAGGGGGGTGGCAGATGGGAGTGCCAAGGCCATCAGTAGTCTGGAAGGATCTAAGGGGCGGGGGCGGCCCTACTGGCTGGCAGGCAGGGAGGCGTCTGGCTGGGGTTCCTCTGGGGAGAGCAGAGCCCTTGGAGGCTCCAGGAAGCCTTTTAAGGAGCTGAAAGTGGCTTCGAGGAAGCTGCAGAGTTTCCCAGAGATAACATGAGGGATGGGGTGACAGAGCCTTCCCAGGACGATTCTGGCAGCAAAGTGCCCCTCCCAGGACCCCTGGATACCAGCAGGGAAGCCAACAAGCATTAATGCATTGTGGGTGCAGCTGGACCCCGCTTACTGTATTGCCTTTGTCTATGATAGGATCCACTAAGAGCCCCCAGAAGACAGATGGAGGTAGAGCACAGCTTGAACTGCAGTAGGCCAGTATTCTGGGCCCAGAGACTTTGTCCCCCTAAAGCTCCTCTGTCACATGGGGGTCACCCTGGGAAGGGGCCAGAGGTCAAGGCCAGGAGATCTGCCGTCCATGTGGCAAGGTTTCTAGGAGATGGCAGGGTGTGATTTTTCTTCTCCCTTCTGGATACCCCCAGACCTGGGTCATGACCGTGTGAACAGTACACTAACCTAGGGTTGGGGTTGGTCACACTGGCATGCACAGGTGACCAGAGTGCATGGGAAATTGAGCTAAATGAAGGGTGTTGGTATGTGCCACTGAGCTGGGTGACAGCTGAGCCAGCAGCAACCAGGCAGTGTGAGGGAGCAGATGTTAGGGCTCCTTATGGGACATAATGGATCATACCACTGCACTCAGGAAGGGGAAAAACAAGTGGCGGGCTGGGGGCTCTGGCCCATGTGCCAGCTAGTGGTTGGAGTTTCTCTCCCTGAAAAAGCGATGTCTCCGTTCACTGGACTGAGTGAGCTAAGTCCTTGGGACCACCTGGAGGTCTTTCTTCCTTCTGTGTGGCTGCTCTTCCTGGTACCCCCCCCCAACCTTTAAGAGCCAGAGCTGTACACTCTGTCAGGGTAGTCTCCAAAGGGCGCCTCACCACTCCAGCCCTCTCCCCTCATGGTTCCCGTACACTTTCTTAAAGCCTCCCTGTCCCAGGCACCGGGTGACACCTGTTCTTTCCTGTGTCCTCCTCTGGCATGGAACCCCTACTTCACAGGGAAGCAACTTGTGGGCTCAGCGTTGATGGAGAGGCATTCTGTCAGTGGGCACGCCACTGCAACGCTGGGTCCATTGGGTGAAAGAGGCAGACAGCTGGTGACCCCAGATAGAGTCCTGAAGTGACACCCCACTGCAGTACTGTGGGGGAACATGATCCCAGCTTTCTAACAGTGGGGCAGGCTGGCTCTCCCCTGGGGTTCCCCCTTGGGGCCTGTGCATATGAGAGAGGCTTCCCTCACAAGGGACCCTGGCCTAGAGTTCTGGGGTGGCAATCCCCGGCCCCCTCTGGGGCTACTTCCGCCTGGTTTACCTGGTCTGGAGTCACATGTTCTCTGCCCTAACCTGGCATCCGTGAACCAGGACAGCAGCCTGAAGAGGATGCAGGACAATGTTTGTGACTAGAGAAATGGCTTTGTTGGGGGTTCTGAGAGTCAGTCCTCTGGAGGAGCATCCCTTCTGTGGCGGCTATCCTGGCCTTCTGAGGGACCTGCTCCTGTCACCCCTGCAACTTACTGTCATCTTTTCTGAGGAGCGGCCTTGGCGTGCTGCCAGACTGGCTCTGGAACATACAGCATTCCCCCTGCCTAAACCTCTCAAATACTGGGAATGCTGATATAAAGCACCACATCCGGCTCTGGGTTAAAGGGTTAAGAGCCTGTGCCTTCTTGAATTCGGTACTGTGTCCTCTTCCTTAAATTTAGAAGAGCTTAAAGCCACAAAGGGGGCATGACCAACTCTTCCTTAGTGTTTGCTTGAGGTGCTGGGCATGAAACCCCGGGCCAGGGTCAGCCACTCCACTTTTTAAAGCGAGACAAGAACTTGCTTAGAACTCTTGATCCTCCCTAGTGCTGGGGTGGCAGGCCTTAACACTATGCATCTAGCGCCACCTAGCTGTCTCCAAAGGAGCTGGAGGACTCACTGGGTGAGGCTGTGCGGAGAGCTGGGTGGGGACTGAACCGCGGGCTTGTAGCTGTCCCCGCTCACAGCGACCTCTGTCCCTCTGTTGCAGATGTGAAGTTCATTTCCAACCCGCCCTCCATGGTGGCTGCTGGGAGCGTGGTGGCTGCGATGCAAGGCCTGAACCTGGGCAGCCCCAACAACTACCTGTCCTGCTACCGCACAACGCACTTTCTTTCCAGAGTGATCAAGTGTGACCCGGTGAGTGAGTCTCACTGCTGGAGGCTGCCTCTGGTGAGAGCCAGGGAACCCTGCTGGGGGCAATGTCAAGATGCTGACCAGGCCGAGCCTGTGAGAGGTGGAGTACTGACCTCTGTAGCAAGAGGGAGCCAAACCGGGGCCCCCACCAGCCTCTTCCCAGACTTGAGGTTTGGGGATCTTCCAGAAGCCATTGATCCTAAAAGCGGGGCAGGGGCGTGATATACTGTCAGGTGAAGCTGAAGTCTGGCCCAGCTACGATAGGACCACATCTCCCTCGGTGTAGTCTACAAAGGACTCTGGTATAGGCCTTCTACTTGCAGAAGACACATTCTAGAAATCTGAGGGTAGGTGGCATGCTGTGCCACACTGGAGCACCTTCTCACTGAGGGGTATGGCTGATGGCTGCTTGGAGCGCTGGCCGTGACAGTGTCCTCGAGGACATTGCAGGCTGGCATAGGCAGAACAGACAAAAGTCCAGTTCTGGCTTGGACTCAGCTGAGAGTTCGGTGTAGGTCAAAGTCACTGGGCGTGTGGAAGGCTTCTGACATCAGCCACAGGGACCCCTAATTCCCGCACTCCTCCAGTGTACCTCAGCATGCGGCCTCCTTCCCCCAAGCATCTGGGGCTCCTGAGAATTGGGGGGGGGGGGGGTGGTAAGTGATATAGGTGGAAGCCTGCGGACTTCAGAGAGAGGTTCAAGGGTGCCTGTGGGTCCACACTAGGCCACCTGTGCTTCAGTTGCCCCTTCTGTAAAATGGGGCCATTTGCCCTGCCACCCTCCTTAGGCATAGTACCTGTCAAACAAAGGGGAACAATACCCAGACTCTGAATGTGGGGGCTCCCCAGGGTTTCTGCAGAAGTACTACTGGCTTGAGGAATGTACACAGTGCCCTAGCCTCATCCCATCTAGGCAGGGCTTAATAAGTTCATCAGTCTCATTCCGGGCAAAATGCTTTCCAGGCTCCAGTGGTGACCCTGGAGCTGGCTTCCTCAGAGGCCACCCGGGGCAGAAGGCTGTGAGGGAGAGATAGGTGCTCCTTGTGGGGAGTACAAGATACAGCCCCAAAAGAGGAACCTGAAGAGGTGGAGGTGCATTCTCTCAGCCAGGCAGAATCTGTCACAGGTGCTTATGGTAGGCTGGGTTCACCTCCCAGAACCACCTACAGAAACTGCATCCAAAAAATGGTGGAGTTCCCGGGAGGATGTGTCAGGCAGTGCTGCAGGAGGCCCCGGGAGGAATCTCTGCTGGGTAGACCTGGGGTGGACAAGCAGGTGTCCCGTGACTCGGGCAGGGGCAGAGGTGGCACTCTTGCTCTCTAGTCCTTCGTAGTTAGTTCTCTTACTGCTCACAGATTTGGGGGTGGCTCAAGGAGTTTCTTCCAGCCTTACCCTTAGCAAAGCCTGCTTCGCAGGTCAAGGCCCTGGCCACTAGCCTCTGGCTAAACAAGGACCCCCTCCATCTCCGCCCGCCTCTCCAGGACTGCCTCCGCGCCTGCCAGGAACAGATTGAAGCCCTTCTGGAGTCCAGCCTGCGTCAGGCCCAGCAGAACATTGACCCCAAGGCCACCGAGGAGGAGGGGGAAGCGCAGGGAGAGACTGACCTGGCCTGCACACCCACCGATGTGCGAGATGTGGACATCTGAAGGCCACCACCGGCCAGGCGGGAGCCACTAAGTAGTGGCAGCCCGCGATGAGAAAGGAGCTAGCCCGGGGCGCTCCTAACGATGTTCCTCTTAGGGACATTTGTTACCAGAAAGGGAAGTTTTGTTCTCTTTGTTGGTTGTTTTTCTTTAATCTTTCTCCTTTCTATCTGACCTAAGCAAAAGAGGAAAAAAAAAATACCTGAAAGTTGTCTTAAAGAGAGAGAGAGAGATAGAATTTGCATCACCCTGAGTGTAGGGCGGAGGGTGCTACAAAAATAGGATTTTATACCCCAGTAATCAACTAGTTTTCTATTAATGTGCTTGTCTGTTGTAAGAATAGGATTAACACACAGGAAGTGCCCAGAAGGATTTTGATTTTATGTGTTTTAAAAGCTTGAAAAACATTGCTTTAAAAAAGGAAAAAAAAAGGCAAATAGAGCAAACCATTGTTAAAGTAGAAGAGTTAGCTAGAGAACGTGCTCGCTTTGCTGAAAGACACAGCTTGGGCGGTCCTCAGCCTCACTCCCCTGCATGTTCTTGGCTGCCACTGCCAGTCACCTGTTTCCTGCGCCTCATCCCAGGGATGAGTAGACCTCTTCACTTACTGATGGTCGGTGCGACCTCTAGCGGTCTTGCAGCGTGTGGCACCCCCCAGGGCTCTCTCCCAACGTGCAGGTCCATAGCAGTGTGCTCCAGTAGAGCGGGGATGAGATAGTGGCATCGTATATTCTATTTTTGTAATCTTCCTATTTTGTAGTTCCTGTTTAAAGAGACGCTGGTTTTTGCCTGCCGGCCTTGCAGCCCACTCACATCAGGTTAAACCCACAGCTTTTCTCTTGTGTGTGTGATTTGTTCTGTTTTGTTGTGTTTTCCTTCTCCATGTTCCAAAACCATTCCATCTCAAAGCACTTTCGGTCAGCTAGCTGGAAGCAGTGTCGCTAGTGTGTGTGTGTGGGGGGGGGGGGGGGAGTCTTAATGGAATGGTTGGGGGTATCCACACACTCATGGCTTCTCAATACATGTGTGGCACAGTAGGGCTGGTAGCATGGGGTACTTGGGAAGTTTCTTTGGGTCAAGGAGAGAGAACTCTGTTCTCGCACCGCCAGGATCTGTCCTACAGAGAAGGTGAATTGAAGGGATCCTTTGGTGCCAGCTGGTGTTTGGAAGTAGGAACTGTGATGGCATTACCTGGACAGTGAGGGGATTTTAAACACTAAAATGTCTAATTTATACTTAAGGCTACAGAAGAGTATTTATTGGAAAGGCTGCCCATGGCCAGTATGATTTATACAGCAATGTGATCTCCCTTGATTCAAACGCACACCTTCTGCCCTTGCTGGCGAAGGTGCCATGTCAGAAATTGGTCTTTTAGTGGGGAGGGGAGGGATTCTCAAGAATCATATAAAGACGGGCATTTGGTTTGCTTAACTTTCCAAACCCAAACGGCCCCATTGGAGAGCCATCCGAACTAAGGAAAACTAGGGGATCCCAAATGAGTTTTATTCTGGCACATTCTTGCCATCGCTCCCCCCCCCCCACCAACAGTAGGTAATTTGTATTGTGCTTTTCTAATTAGGAAGTGTTGAAGGGAGGTGACGAGCGGGAGGCTGGAGAGAGGACGTGAGGGAAGTGTGTGGAGGGTAGGGACCACACGGGACAGGCTGCGGCTCCTTTCACAGCGCTGCTACCGATGACTCCCGGCATCCCAGACGTTCGGACCCAGATTCGCGTCGCTTTGTATCTTTCACATTGTTTTCGCTGCTATTGGAGGGTCAGTTTTGTTTTGTTTTTTTACAATGTCATAGACTGCCATGTTCAAGTTTTAATTTCCTCATAGAAGATTGTATTTACAGATGCCCTTTTTTTGTACTTTTTTTTTAAGTTGTGATCAATTTTGGCTTAATGTGATTACCGCTGTATTCCCAAAAAAAAAAAAAAAAAAAAACAGGTTCCTGTTCACAATACCTCATGTTTCACCTAGCCATGCACGGGCCTAGCAGGCGGGTAGTCTGCCTCCTGGGACTGGTCTGGTGGGGATCATCCCCCTGCACCTGTCATGCTGGGCCCTTCATTTGATCTGGGACATATAGCATCACAGCAGTCGGGACAACTGTATTTTTCTTTGTTAATTATCAATATTGTTATTTTTGTAGCGGCCTGTTGTGCATGCCACCATGCTGCTGGGCCCGGAGGAATTTGTTCTGAGTCTCCGGTGCATCATTTATTGTTAGGTTCTAGTATTCTGTCTTGTTTTGTGTTAATTACAGCATTGTGCTAATTTAAAGACTTCAGCCTCGGCAAAGCCAGCTCCAGTGCTGCAGGCCTCCAAATTCCCTAGCTAGCTGTCAAACCAAAATGGCCACCTCCACGGTCACCACCAACCTAGCTGAGGCATCTGAACCAGGCAAGACCCTTGAGGGCCACTGTGTTTTCATGGTGACGGGTGAGGGTTTGGCCAAAGGCTGGTGGTGGGTCCACGGAGTCTGCCCTGTGACATGAAAGGCTTTGAGGGGCTCTGGCTGATGGCCAAGTTGGGTTTGTGTATTTCTGGTTGACACACCATGGCGCTTCCCAGCACGGACATGTGACCAGCATGGTCCAGAAAAAAAAAAAAAAGACACAAAAAATCTAGAAATAAAATTGGTAAAATCCCAGCTTGGTGTTGTCTGTTTTCTGGGCCTTGGGGAAGGGAATGGGGGATATATCACTGTTGCCATAACCATGTGGGACCAACCTGGGGTTCCCAAATGAAAGGGTGTTTGCAGGTGGCAGCCTCTGGCGTCAGGGAGACCGGCGGCAGCCATTGATGAGAAGCGGCTCTGGGTCAGTCGCTGCCAGCTTGCTCTCCTGTGTGTTTGCAGATGGAAGATCAACAGAGCCCGCGTTCACTGCCCCTTGTCTGGCACAAATGGGTGTTTGCTCTGGGTGAATCACCATCCTTAGGTGCTGCCAAACGCCCGGAGAGCGATGCTTAGTGTTAGGGCCAAGGCCCAAGGTGGCCTTTCACACAGTTACAGGGGACCTGAGTGGCCTGGCTGGACTCCTTTGACGTCCTCTGGGTGGCAGTTCATGACTGGCGTTGTTCGCCAACCCTTGGGGAATAGGTGTCATGACTCTCCCTAGCACTGGGGGTCCTCTGCCATCACCCTATGTAGCCATTTGGGAGCCACCTAAAGACCTGGGTCTCAGGTTGGCTGTGTTGGTGCCAGGCTGCCCCCTGCCCTTCTGAAAGATGGGGAATGTAGTTAATGCCTGGCCTGAATGGTGCCACCCAAAGATGAAAGCAGAAAGGGACTTGACCCAAAGGCAGATGGAGCCTCTACCAGGCATCCTACCCCCATGGGAGTTTAAAGGAAACACTAGAGCTGGAGGAGACTCCAGTGTCCCCTCTGGTGGCTTAGGAAGATCCAGTCCTCATCTTGGGCAAAGCGGCTGCCTGAGGGCAGGGTCCAGAAAGGTATATCAGCTCCATCTGAGCATCAGAGCCCGTTATAGGGCTAAGGACCCAGGAACTGGCAGATCTCCTCTCCCCACAACCACACATGTCCAGGAGAGTTGGTATGGGGCCTTCAGCATTCCGGGAAACAGGCCAAAGGGCAGAGAGGTGGAAGAGCTGCTTTCCCATTGGATCTTAGAAGCACCGTAGAGCAAGCTTATCACATTCAGGTGGGCTGAAGGGCAGGTTAGTATGGGAGACACAATAAACTACGCTGGGATGAAGCAGGCTGACGGCCAGTGCAGCAGAGTGGTCCTAGGAATGCAGACACCAATAGTGTGGGGCTGAGCATACACTAGAGGAAGGCAGGCTGCTGCTGCTGTTGCTGTTTTCCACCATTGCTTATCAAGGGTGGTCGTGGAAGGACACCCAAGTGGAATGGGTAAGCATCACCATCAAATGCGGAGAGCTCACACCATGATGTGGTCTCTAAAGGTGCAATTGGCTTGTGTCTTCATCCAGTGGTCTGTGGTGCCCAGCTACAGCTGATGTCCAAGCCTCTTTACATGGCTCAGAAGTTAACCCCAGATACCAATGGCAACTCCAGGCTCTGATTCTAACCCTTGAATTTTGCTGATAAAACTGGAGGGTAGGCTGGGTGGTGACAGTGCACGCCTTTAATCCCAGAACTCAGGAGGCAGAGGCCAGCCTTATCTATAGAGTGAGTTCCAGGACTGGCTCCATTGCTACTCAGAAATACTGTCTCGAAAAACAAAAACAAAAAGACTGGATGGCAAATCCCAGTGGGATGAGTAGACACTCGTGTTCATGGGGTGATGGTACAGTGGCCTTTGGACAGCCTCAGAAACAAAGGCTCAGGAAGTTAGCCCGCCCAACTGTCTCTTCTCAGAAGCCCAAAGGCCAGCTCTCTCCATTCTCTGCCTCCACCAGCTCCACGGATCCTTGCCCAGTATCCTGGCCAGGCTTCCTACATGCAGAGAGCCCCCATCCTGCTGAGCCATCCCACCCCTCTCAGCCAGGCCAAGGTCTTAAACCTGCCTGGCCTCGGTGAACCTCAGCTTCCTGACTCCCTGTTCTAGGTTACTTCACTGCCTGGACCTGCCCGAACCTTCATTTCTGCTTGTCCTAGAGGACTCAAAGTGTGGCCTCTGTGGAGCTTCTGCATCGCATTATACAGGTGACTGTGTGGCCTCCCCTCCTGACTTCACATCCTGGGGCTAAGTGTGAGGAAGTTAACCTGTTGCTCATAGGCCAGCCCAGCTGCGGCACTTTGTCCTAGAAAGCAAGCCACCTTCACCGACCCTACAGAGTACCTGGGCTCCTGGGGCCCACGAGATGCCAGCAGTGGGGGCTGAGGACTACTGGGGTGGGACACAAGGCAGAGAAGCAGGACCGTGTGTCCTCCTTGCGGTGCTCCAGAGCCCTTGCCACGGCAGTCCAGGAGGCGGACAATGTCTATCAGGCTCCACAGGACTGGACCTGGCCTCTGCATTTAGTGGCATGGCTGTGCAGGCCACACAAGGCCAGAGTTGGGAGCTGGCACTGCCAGGTGTGCCTCCCAGGCAAACCTGGACTTGGGCTGTTGTGACAGCCTGTGTGTGTCTTAGGTGGTGTGCACAGACTGTTTAACACGAGGTAGGCTTGTATACAGGGGCCCCGCAGGGCCACAGCACAGTACTGGTGGGATGCGGTACCCCTGGCTGAGCTGAGCTGGCCTCTCAGGGCTGTCATCCCAGGAATGTCTTTGATCAAAGGGTTGTGCAAGAGGGCAAAGCAAGAGCAGGACCTCTAATCCCTTCCCAACTCCCTGGCCCACAGAGCCCCCGCAGCTCAGCACCACACTACAGGGCCAGCAGACAAAAGCCTCGGGTGGTGGGGATGGTGGGCAGGCAGCTCAGGGCTGCAGACCTCGGGTCCCGCGTCTGGGGGCATTGTTACTCACAGGGCACATGAGAAGGATGGAGCGAGAATACAGAATGCTCTGCTGAAGGGGCTTCAGTGGGTCTTGAGCCTCTTAGACTGTGGCATCCATTAAGCCTTTGAATTGTCCCCAAGAGACAGCTGAGACAGCCTGCCAGCTGGGAGCCACTTTAAAACTGAGCAAGCTCACCCTTGGGGTCATCTGTGTGGGGCCTCCCAGCTCAGGGCTCAGGACACCCTTCCTTCCCTTGTTCTGTCCCAGTGGCTAGGCCAAGTCTCTGACAACTGGGCCTTTCTGGACACCTGCCTCAGTTCCTTTTTCTGCTGCTGTGATAAACACCAGACAAGTGCAAGTGAAGGGGGAAAGTTGTATCTGGCTCGCGGAGGAAGGTGTGGTCCATCATGGTGGGAAAAGCACGGCAGCAGAAGCTCCAAGCAGCTGCTCCCATTACATCACAGGGGAAGCAGAAAAAGATGAACATGGGCGCTCAGCTTGCTCTCGCCAGGACTCCAGCCCAAGGGATGGTGCCTACCATACTTAGAGTGGGTATTCCCATCTCAACTAACTCAGTCAAGAGAATCCTTTAGGGGCTGACAGATGGCCCAGCGGTTAAGAGCACTGGCTGCTCTTCCAGAAGACCCAGGTTTGGTTCCCACATGGCAGCTCACCCATCTCTAACACTAGTCCAGGGATCTGACACCTTCTAACCTGCGTGTGTACCCTGTATAAGCATGGTATAGACATACATGCAGACAAAACATGCATACACATAAAATTAAATTAAAATAAAAAATAAAGAAATCTTGGCTGAATATTCAACATCTTTTAAGAGTCAAAAATTTTTTGGTTAAACATTTTGATTTTATAGTTCCAGGACAGGAACCAAAAGCTACGGAGAAACCCTGTCTCGAAAATAAAAAAAAAAAAAAAAATTTGATTTTATAATGGTCAGTGCTGAAAGTGCCACTTCACACAAAACAGAATAAGAGTGCTTAAAGCCAGTTCAGACATTGGTGAAAATTCTGTCCTAATCCCAAGACAAATTTCACTGAGCAATTTTTTATGAACATAAAGCCAGCTGGGCAGTAATGGCACAGCCTTTAACCCCAGCACTCAGGAGGCAGAGGCAGGCGGATCTCTCCAAGTTTAAGGCCAGCCTGGTCTACATTGCAAGTTCCAGGAAGAAATAACAGCTCTGACAGGGAGAGGGACCTGGTGTCAGTGTCCTGGGTCGTCCTTGACTAATGACATGGTTTGAACAGCAGGAGTTGACTCTCTTCAGGGGCTAAAGGTAACGCTGGGTATGGCTGGGCCAGCCCTGATTCTGGAGGGTTCCTGGACAGCCTCAGTGTTACTCACCTGGAGCCCTCCTGTTTGCAGGCCTCCTTAGGTCTGTATGCTGCATAGCATCCTCTTCATGACCCCCCCCCCCCCTTTTAAGGAGCCAGATGCTTCCCAACTCTTAGCTGATACCAAGTATGGGAGTTTGAATGTAATTGGCCCTCAGAGTCTCAGAAGGAGTAACATAGGTATGGCTTTGTTTGGGGTGGGTATAGCCTTGCTGGAGGAAGTGTGTCACTGTGGGGGCAGGCTTTCAGGTTTTCTATGCTCAGGATACCACCCAATGTCTCAGTCAATTTCCTGTTGCCTATAAGATATAAGACTTCAGCTACTTCTCCAGCACCACATCTGCCTACACACCACCATGATCCCAGTCATGATGATAATGGAATGAATCCCTGAAACTGTAAGTGAGCCACCCCAATTAAGTATTTTCTTTATAAGAGTTGCTGTTGGTCATTGTGTCTCTTCACAGCAATAAAAGCCCTAAGACACCAAGCATGACAGGCCCCAGCCACGCTTGAGCAGGCCTTCCTCACCCAAGTATAAACACAAGCAAACTCCAGCTGAACAGAACTGCTAAGACCCTGCTGCCAAGCAGATGCAGTGGACCAGCAGCAGGCCCCTGCGCTTGAGAGCAGGCTTGGGAGCTTGTTTTTCAAGGGTACAACGCCCACTGGCAACAGTAAGGCCCCTGCTAGGAGAACTGCACCAGCACTCCCAAATCTTTAGTCCTGTCTTCAGACCCATGGGGCTCACTGATGCATGTTCTCTAATAGAGGCTATGAAGACCCCATCCAGGAAGTCTCCCTGCCACCTACCTACAGGGTGAGTGCTCCCCTATCTCTGGGCTCCCAGAAGACAGTAGTGTTCATCATGAAAGATCCCACAGGTTGGGTGGTTGGTGGTTACATGCCTTTAATCCCAGCACTTGGGAGGCAGAGGCAGGTGGGTCAAGTTTAAGGCCAGCCTGGTCTACAGAGCGAGTTTCAGGATAGCCAGGGCTACACAGAGAAACTTTGTCTCAAAGGAATGAAAGAAAGAAGAAAGGAAGTGAGGGAGGGAAGGAGAAAGGACCCCCACAGAAGGGTCTGGGGCATCTGACAGCCCCTTCAGTCACTGTTCCTCCTGATATGGGTTCCTTCTTTATAAACCCGTGTTTTCCTGGATCTGCTAAATACAAGACCTAGCATGGGCTCAGCCAAGCCTGAAACCAGTCTGGAGCAGTTGGCAAAAGCTACTCTCACCTGCTGTGCTTTGTGCAGCCATTCACAGTCACTCTGCCAGCCCATGTTGCCATCCTTAGTCTTGCACATGGAGACTAAGTAGTGGAGTAGAAAAGTCAGGACTAAGCCAGACGGTAGTGGCAGACGTCTTTAATCCCAGCAATAGGGAGGCAGAGGCAAGTGGATCTCTGTGAGTTCGAGGCCAACCTGATCTAACATTACAATTTATAACAGTAGCAATTACAGTTATGAAGTAGTAATGAAAGTAATCTTATGGTTGGGGGTCACCATAACATGAAGACTGTATTAAAGGGTGGCAGCATTAAGAAGGTTGAGAACCACTGTTTTAGAATGTGGGGTGCTCCGTCACTAGCCACTGTGGGGTTGAGAGCACCCAGCCAGAGCTTCTGGGGTGTTTTACCTTGCTTGTGTCTCAAAACTACAATCCTACAAAATCAAACTTGACTACAGGGCTGGTGAGATGGCTCAGCAGTTAAGAGTGCTTGCTGTTCTTCCAGGGGTCCTGAGTTCAATTCCCAGCAACCCCATGGTGGCTCATAGCCATTTGTAATGAGATCCGGTGCCCTCCTCTGGTCTGCAAGCATACATGCAGGCAGAACACTGTATACATAAGAAATAAATAAATCCTTTAAAAAAAAACAACAACGGGGGCTGGAGAGATGGCTCAGTGGTTAAGAGCATTGCCTGCTCTTCCAAAGGTCCTGAGTTCAATTCCCGGCAACCACATCGTGGCTCACAACCATCTGGAATGAGGTCTGGTACCCTCTTCTGGCCTACAGACATACACACAGACAGAATATTGTATACATAATAAATAAATAAATAAATATTAAAAAAAAACCAACAACAAAAGAGTGCTTGCTGCTTTTGCAGAGGACCCAGCTTTGGTCCCAGCGCACGTGGTGGCTCACAACCTCTGTAACTCCGGTCCTAAAGCATCCGATGCCCTCTTCTGATCTCTGCATGCACTGCCACCATGCGGTGCAAGTAAAAACCTCATACACACTGAAGGAACTCTAGCAGGCCCGAGCATGGCCAACATGACTCTGGCAGGCCTTGCCCTTCCCATTTCCTCTGCTTTGCTAAACTATTAAATTCATTCCTAAAGCTAGCCACCAAGGTCTATTCCCCTTATTTTACCACACAAACCCCAGGCTGATTACTAAGGTCCAGTTATCAAAGTATTGAAGTCCAGCAATCAAAAGCCCTTTTTAGCTGCCCTAATTAACATGCCCAATCAAAACAAAACACCTCATCCTAACACAGGGTTTCCCCCTCTAATCTTTATAAACTGTCATTTGCCTATGGGGCATGTCTACCTCCTCTCCAGAGACAATCCTTTGTCCCTCTGGGACAGATTCCCCTACCCCTCTCCTTTGTTCCTTTCCCTCATCCTCTATCTCCTGTCTTTGTCTCTTATTTTCTGACCTTTGTCCTTCTGTAGCAAATAAATTTCCTCTGTGCTGATTTATTTATATATTGGTTTCTCAAAACTGGGTTTCTCTGTGTAGCCTGGCTATCCTGGAACTCACTCTGTACACCAGGCTGGCCTCTGCCTCCCAAGTGCTGGGATTTAAGGGGTGTGCCACCATCGCTCAGCAATAATCTTTATATTTTAAAAACTCCTCACTAACACTAGCTTTACAGGGAAGAATTTCATTCTGCATTTACCCTCGGGCTGAAATTGGTACCATAGCTGTAAAAAGGCTGCCTGTTAGAGGTCACACAGTACCCTTGCAGGTCTGAGGCCCTGTGTTTAGTGAGTTTTCTCATCCCTGCTGTGACAAAATCCCCCAAAGAAGCAAGCTAAAGGATGAAGGAGTTTATGGGGCCACAGTTAATAAGGTGGCAGTTATCAGGGTGGGGAGGCATGGCAACAGGAGCCCAAGGCAGACGCTCACATTTTATCCAGTCCGGAGGCAGAGAGACACGTACGCTGGCACCCAGCTTGCTTTCTCCAGTTCATGGGACAGAGCACACTCAGGGTGGGTCTTCCCTCCTCAGCTAAGCCTTTCTGGAAACACCCTCACAGCCATGAACAGAGGTGTGTCTCCTAGGTGATTCCAGATCCTGCAGAGCTGGCGGTCACATGCCCTGCCCTGTGACTACAGATAAATCTGTAGGTGACTGAGGGAGAATGAGATCACTGGTAGTCCCTGTTCAGTCAGGACACAACTGTGCAGGAGACACGGGCAGCAGGCTCAGCAGAGAGACTTGGGAGGAGCCAATCCAGACACCTCTGGCCTCCAGCATGTGACACACTGCCGCTCATAGGGGATGGCATCAAAGCTAAAGTCATAGCAAGGCCACTCTGCCAGAGAGCCGGCCAGAACATGGTAAGATGGGTGACAGAAAACAGTCCAGCAGTGGAGACACTTAGAGCTCACAGGACATGGTCTGAGAAGGCAGGCAATTAGCTCGCAGCTCAGTAGTGACATTAAGGACACATGTTCCATGGGTGCCACTCTACCACACTGAGGTGCAGCTTCACTGCAGCTCCCTGTGGTTGTCTATGGCAGTTCCGAGTATCATCTTCTTGGGATGACATTTAGAAGTAGCAACCTTTTCATGGCTATGTCACCTTTCACAGTAGACACAGCCATATCAGCGGGGGAAGGGAGGGCACACCCACACGGCAGAATGCTTCTCGGCACTGTTTATACTGTGATCCAGAAGACCTTTGGGGTAACCAAAGCGTGCTGGGGATTGGATGGGGCCCTTGAGAACACAGGAGGTATCAGACAGGTGGCTGTGGCAATGCTGACAGGTGGGAACTCTAACACCTATCTACAAGGTAAGGGGAATGGGGGAACAGACAAAGCTGAGAGGGAAAGGGGGCAGAGACAAGAGAGGAACTAGTAACTGCTACCTGTGGTAGCAAATCCAGGGCAGAATGTGGCTGGAATGCTGGGCCCACATCTCTGAACAGAGATCCTGACATCAGCATCTTGGTACTGGAGGACTGCAGCAGCTGTCAGTACAATGATACCAGACAGACTGTTGCTGTAAAACACATCATTTATTCTTTTCTCCAAAAAGAAAAGTAAACTATGATCAAAACAGCAGCCACAGCTCTCTGAGCTCAGCACCCAGAGAAGCTCACTGAAGAGCACCTGATCCTGGGAGCAGCTGGAGGATGGTGTGAGACTCCCGAGAGGCCACTGCCTGGCTCAGGAAGCCAGATGCGTGGCACCCCGGGCCTCAAGCACCAACACCATCCCTCTCTGGCTAGGCTGGGCTGACAGAACGAGGGAAGAGCTCCAGCTGTACCTACTCTATCAGATATTAAAAACAGTGTCCTAGGGCCACAGGCCTGAGATTCCAACACTCATAAGGCTGAGGTAGGAGGATCACCCTTCAAGGCCAGCTTGAGCTATACAGTGACTCTGTTTCTAAAAGAAAATTAAAAAAAAAAAAAAAAAAAGAACCCAAACCAAAGTGGCACAAATTCACAGTGACCCCTTCACATCATGCCCTAGAACTGAAGTAGGGACAGTCAGGGTACAATGGAGCCACCCAAAGGAGGGCATATCAACCCATGCTGCCATGTGTCCACGCCTGTGAAATGGTATATACTGAGCCTACTCCTGTTAGCTCACCTTATACCTGCCTGTGAACACCATGCAAGACTCGCAAGCTGCTGCTAAAGAAGCAGTGGCACACAGGCAAGCCCCTGGACAGTCACAGTGGCAGTCACCATCTGGTCCTGCTCTGGTTCCCAGTAATCCCCCCGCGGCCAATTCTTAATGTGTAGAGCTCATCCCACACTTGGGGACAGCGTGAAGGCCATGCCTCAGCTTCCTAGGGATCTGATTGGCCTTGCCTTCTCAGCTGGGCATCCAGAGGCAAACCAAGTCCAATGGAGTCTGAACCCTGTACCCTGTACGCACTGCAGGAATCTGGGCCTTCTGCGGCAGAGGACAGGGTCCCAGTGGTGCAGGCAATGACAACACACGCTCAAGGCAGAGGCACTGTATGACACTGCAGGACGTGGATCTGGGGTAGCAGGCAGCTCTGATGGCAGGCTGTTACACTAGGTGGGTCTACTTCATCACCTCTGAAGTGAAATGGCACCCACCTCTGGGACTGCCAGGGGGGCGGAGTGAATCAAAGGAAGCCCAAATGTGGTCAGCAGAAGCTCAGCGCGCAGCAGAGAACCTGCTGCGGCTCCCCATTAAGGGCTTTTACATCAGCCTGCCCGAGTCCTACCCTCAGGGTGATCCAACCCAGGACCACTGGGATGACAAAGCCACTCACTCTGGCCAGCGGCGAGCAATCTCTTGAGGGTGCTGCCAGGACCCTGTGCAGAAGGCAGGGTAGTGTTATCTCGGCCAGCCAGCCAGCAAGAGCCTAGGGAAGAGGCCACACTGGTCCTCTCACAGAACAATGAGGGCCACTCAGGCTGCCTTTAATCACTGACATTATATGTACAGATATCTGCTCTTCTGAGTCCTCAAAACGCAAGTCTGGAGGCTCCCGCGGTCACCCTGAAGTCTGGCTGCACGTTGAGCAGTGAGCATAGCTGAAAGTACCCAAGAGATGGTGTCTCAACCAACAGTGTCTCACACCCCTGGACACACCTCTGCTAGCCCCACTTTCCCTATCCCAGCACCACCCCACAGGCAATGTCGCCACACCGTTCCCAGCCTATCTCAGTCATCCTACAAGGGGCAGGGAAATGAGGCACGGACACATGCTGCCCAGAACAGCCATCACACAAACCCTAAGGCCTGCACCCGCCCTGCTGTTACAGTGCACTCAGGCACACCCCAGACAGAGGCTATGGAGCACAAACCTGTCTGAATTTCCCTCTGATTATGTCCAGGTCTTCATGGAGCCTCTCGTAAGTGGGGTCATCATAGGGGAAGTGTTGCAGCAGTGTGATCAGAGCCTCCACCACCTTCATCTTCCTGCTGCGATGCATGGGGGAGAGAGGCTGTCACCCAAGGCCCTACTCCATCCTTCATTGCATCTCAGAGCAGTGGGCAGTCTAAGCTGCCTCTCTGCTCCTGGCAGTGCTGGCCTCCACCTGCTGTAGAGCAACCACTCACCAGGGGGCCCCTACCCCACCTGGGGAACTGCAGGCTGGAGCAAGGGAGACCACCGCAAAAGGATGGCAGTCAGTCTCGGCTGTGACTGCCACCCAGTGGTGGCATGATTAGCCAACATCATTCCTCCAGGATCAGTCGGCCTGGCCACTCCTAAAGCCATGAAGTTAAGGACCCTTGCCTCTCACCTGCTCACACTAAACACACAAATAGAGAGCCAGGCATGGTGACCCAAGTCTTTATTCCCAGCACTCAGAGGGCAACGGCAGAAGGATCTCTTTGAGGTTTTTTTGTTTGTTTGTTTGTTTTTTTAAAGTTTATTTATTTATTATGTATACAACATTCCTTCCATGTATGCTTGCATGCCAGAAGAGGGCACCAGACCTCATTATAGATGGCTGTGAGCCACCATGTGGTTGCTGGGAATTGAACTCAGGACCTCTGGAAGAGCAGTCAGTGTTCTTAACCTCTGAGCTATCTCTCCAGTGTCCGATCTCTTTGAGTTTGAGGCCAGCCTGGTCTAAATAATGAGTTCCAGGACAGTCTGGATTAAATAGACCTTGTCTCAAATTTCACAAAAGGAGGAAGAAGGAAAAAAAATGCTGCATAGTATGAATTCCTTTAATCCCAGCACTCAGGAGACAGAGGCGGGCAGATCTCTGTGAGTTACAGAGCAAGTTCCAGGAGAGTCAGGGCTACACAGAGGAACCCTGTCTCAAAAAACAAAGAGAAGCCAGTAAATCATGTGGTGGATAATCAGAGAGAGAACCCCAGAACTCCACAATTAGTCACAAATACCTTGCTCTTACTTTTGAATATGAGCGTGGTATGAGTCCTAGACACTCAAAGTGTCAAACAAAAGGGTGAGTCCTACAGGCAGGGAGCTGCCATCCTCTTAGCTTGGTTTGCTAATACCCTCCTCTGGGCCCTCCTATACCAGGCCAGGAGCTATAGGAAGACTACACAATGCCAGCCTAACCCTATGCTTCTGCACACGAGGGAAATATGCCTTTCACTTCAGGGCTCCCTCCCAGCCTCGGGAAGCTGGCAGATGGGGCAGCTCACAGGACCAAGGCGGGCAGAGCACAGTAAGGCAAGGTACCAAAGCTAACACAGCTCAAAGAACAGTGACAATCACTAGGAACTGTGTGTGTTATAAAAAGGATGACTTCAGGATGACTTCTGGCTGGCTGTGGTGGTACATATCTGTGAGCCCAGCATATAAGAGGCTGAGACAGAAGGATGGCTGTGAGCTAAAGGCCAGTCTGGGCCATAGTATAAGCCCCTGCCTCCCAAAAAGATAATACTGTTTTCTGGTTGGCTATGAGAAGCCAGCATTTCTTTCTTTTTCCCCTCTCTGGTCCTTGCTGTACTGGAACTCCTATGTAGACCAAGTTACCCTTGAATTCATAGAGATCTGCCTGTCTCTGCTGAAATAAAGGTGTACACAACCACATCTGGCACAGTCAGCATTTCCGAGGCCTCGTTTCATTGACAGTACTGCAGTCTATTATCAGACGCCTAAGTGAGAAATGGACAGGAAATAGGATCCACCTGACATTACCCTAGGTGTGACACCACCCAGCGCTCATCAAGTACCTATGAGGTGCCTGTCACATTTTACTTATTATTCTTTGAATAACAAAGTCAAGTTGGCCATTACTATGAATGAATGACACAGATACCTATGCACACAGTAGGAACACTCAGAGTTCCTCCCGGCCTTTTCACTGATAGCATGCTGATGGGAGGTGGGAGGAAAATGGGGGAGAGGGAAAGGAGGTGGGAGGGAAAGTGGTAGAAGGGAAAGGGGTGGAAGGGAAAGGGGTGGGAAGGAAAGGAAGAAGGGAGCCTCAGCCTTACCTGTCTTTCTCGCATGCACCACTGTGTAGGAGACACTTCCATGCAAGAGCAAAGCCACGGTAGCACCCAATCTGTGAATTGAAAACCAGCCCAGAGTGAAGGCGGTAAGCAATCAGCCACACCACACCAGTTACCAAGATCTCAAAGCTCAGAGCCGGACAGAGGGCTGCCACAAGGCTTCTTCAGCTATTCTGGAACCTGTGAGTTTTTCGGCAATGGAAACTGAATGGTGACAGCCCCAGCGGGTGAGCCAGGCCCCAAGATGACAGCAGTGATACTCATCCTCTATATGATGCTGTGAGCTGGCTCCTTGCCCCTTGTCCCGGGTTCATGTATGCACAACAGAACAGAGGAGAGGAGTGTGCTCAGCTTCTGAGGACACAGAGGAAGAAAGAGTTGTCTAGTTCCTGGGGCTGGGTAGAAAAAGCAATGCCACTTCTGCCTTGTTCTCACAGGCTACTTGCTCTGGGGTGTCATGAGGACACCTGAGCAGAGGACACCAGTTACAGGGTGTGCTACCTCGGGAAGAGATCCCCTGGTCCAGCCAAGCCTGCAGATGAGACTGGAGCCCTGCTGACCCTCAGACACTGTGTGGCATAACCAAAGATGGTTGTTTTAGGCCCACCAGTCTGTTTTGTGGCATCAGGTACCTGATATTGTCATGACCTCCTCTGCCAGTCAGGATCAGTGATCTATAAGAGGACAAAGGCAAAAGGAGAAAAACTGTGGGGCTTATGGAATTCCACTGTAAACATGGCACCCCTTTGGGTGAGGACTGAGCTGGCTGAAGACGCAAGACAGCACTGTGCTACTCCCTAACATACTTTGGTGGTTCTGTGCTAAGAATTTTCTGTCTGGTCTATGAATCCCCTCCAAAGGCCTTGCAATAGGAAGTGGTTAGATGCTTTAGCTTCAACAGCAAAGGAAGCAACTGTAAAGGAAAAGGATCCATGCCTTTGTTCTTTTCCTCTAGGCCACTGATTTTCAACTTGAGTCTTGACCCCTTTGGGGTCACATGTCAGATACATATACATTATGATTCATAAGAGTAGCAATATTATAGTTATGAAGTAGAAACAAAATAATTTTATGGTTGGGGGCCACCACAACATGAGGAACTGATGGGGGAGAGTCTTCTGGCTTGTGTTAATTTCACTGGTTAAATAAAGAGACTGCCTTGGTCCTTTAATAGGACATAAAATTAGGTAGGTGGAGTAAACAGAACAGAATGCTGGGAGAAAGAAGCTGAGTCAAGGAGTCGCCATGATTCTTCTACCGGACACAGACGCAGGTTAAAATCTTCCCTGGTAAGACACCTTGTGGTGTTACAGGGATATTAGAAATGGATTTGATCGATATGTAAGAGCTAGCCAATAAAAGGCTGGAACTAATGGGCCAGGCAGTGTTTAAAAGAATACAGTTTCCATGTAATTATTTCGGGGCATAAGCTAGCCATGTGGGAGGCCGGGTGCCGGGGACACAGCCCCGCCACTACAATTACAACAAGGAACTGTTTGCAAAGGTTGCAGCATTAGGTTGAGAACCGCTGCTCTAAGGCAATGTTTCAAAGTTATGGCTAAGCATGTTGGGTACATCCTCTGCCACTGAGCTACTTCCCCAGCCTCTGTTTTTTGAGGCAGTAGCTCACTCTTTAGCCCAGGCTGGCCTAGGACTCCTGCCTCAGTTTTCTGAGTGCTGGGATCGCAGGATAGATCCCCTGTGACAGAGGATGGATCACCACACTCATCTATGAAGTTCTTTCTAAGTGGCCCTCCCACTTACCTCAGATCCAATTTTGGCTCCATGTAATGTGCCATACTGCCTTCCTTCAACGATCCCCAAGCTGCTGCCTTCTTCATAGCCTTCCTGATATCCCTCCCCATGGAATCTGTGACAGAGAAACACACTTCATCAGGTAAAACACTGTTCCTTGAAAAATCTTCCCACCTTACATTATCTAGATTCCCACAGGACACAGCAGACTACAGGAAGAAAGGGTTAAAATTCAAGTCATGCCAGGTGGTGGCACGTGCCTTTAATCCCAGCACTCGGGAGGCAGAGGCAAAAGGATCTCTGTGAGTTCAAAGCCAGCCTGGTCTACAGAGCAAGTTTCAAGACAGGCTCCAAGGCTACAGAGAAACCCTATCTAGAACCCCCTCCCCCAAAAGGCCCCCAAAACCCCGAGTCACAAAATGCAGGTTCTAGGTCTAGCTCTCTACTCTCTGGCCCATTACTGTGCCCTAGCCCATTGTTGAGACAGCTCTCACTATGCAGGTTCTAGGTCTAGCTAGCTCTTCTGCTCTCTGGCCCATTACTGTGCCCTAGCCCCATTGCTGAGACAGCTCTCACTATGCAGGTTCTAGGTCTAGCTCTTCTGCTCTCTGGCCCATTATTGTGCCTCAGCCCCATTGCTGAGACAGCTCTCACTATGCAGGTTCTAGGTCTAGCTCTTCTGCTCTCTGGCCCATTATTGTGCCTCAGCCCCATTGCTGAGACAGCTCTCACTATGCAGCCCACGCCAACCTCCATCAAGTAACTCTTTCCATTTCTTTTTTGTTGTTGTTGCTGATTTGTTTTGTTGGGTTTTTGTTTGTTTGTTTGTTTTCGAGACAGGGTTTCTCTGTGGCTTTGGAGCCTGTCCTGGAACTAGCTCTTGTAGACCAGGCTGGCCTCTAACTCACAGAGATCCACCTGCCTCTGCCTCCCAAGTGCTGGGATTAAAGGTGTGTGTCACCACCGCTGGGCTCTTCCCATTTCTTGACAGCTGAGATTACAGGTGTGTGCCACCACCTCCATGTGAAAGCATGATGCGTATGGGCTTCATGCATGCTATGAAAAGCACTCTACCAACTGAGCTACAGCCCCAACCCCTAGGGACCCAAGTTCCTTCATCTGTAACCGTGGGTAGGATACACGAGTGACTTCCAAACCCGGCAGAGCACAAGAACCCACAAGGAAAATGTAAAAATACAAACTCAAGCAAGCTTAGTCCACACTAGAAATCTACTTTTCAAAAAGAGTCGGTGTAGCTGAGCCTACATGCCATCCTAACTCAAGTCTCTGTTTCTAAAACACCCCCAGGATGCAGGAGTAACAGAAAATATCCGTAAGATCATCACAGTATGCCAGCACTACGGTGCTCTGACTAGATGGTATTGTCTCTGAGGAATCAACCAAAAATTGGCAGTAACTTGAAGTCTGCACTGTGGAAGGAATGCTCTGGAAGCCCCCGTGAGGGGTGAACAGCTCCCCACTTGGCAGGTGGGTGGCCTGGGGAGCTCTTCTGCCTCCGCAGATGTCAGGACCCCACTCCCTAAACAGAGATCGAGCAGTCACCCCGGAGAGGTGAGCAGCCGTCCAGGAAAGGCCAAGATGCCCTGGACCACCGTTCCGCCCAGGCATTTCCCCGGGGAACTTTCCACATCCAAAGGGGCCTGCCCGACACATCCATCAGCAGGTCCATGAATACTGCCGTATGTGCGGCAATTAAAGAACAAGAAGATGTGGCAGCTCGCAGATGGCGAAGGCGGGTGTCCCCGAGGACAGCGGGACTCCGCCAAGCAGCTGCCGGGGCGGGGCGGAACTGGGCCGCTGCCTACCTCTCATCCGCCATCACGACGGCGTCGAACATGTCCTGCTCCACAGCCATGGCAGCGGCCCGGTTCTCCCCGGGCTCTCGCACTCCTGCCATTCTCTGTAGTAGTCGCCAGCCGGCGAGGAACGGCTACAACCGCCCGGCTTGTCAGCTGGAGGAAGCCACTTCCGCGTGTGCTGCGCAGAGCACGGCGGGTAAGGACGGCAAGCGAAAGAAGCCAAAAAAATAAAATAAAATCTTTACTGCGCATGGGCAGACCCCGCTCCTCCTCCCAGGCACCTCCCTCTCCTCTGAGAGTGGGGCGGGTCCGGCCGAGCAGGAATGCTTCGCTGTGCTGCGCTCGGGGCCCAGGCGAACCCAGCTTTTATTTTCAAAACCCAAACAAATGGGACCGAATTTACAAACGTAGGTCTTAAAGAAATGAGAAAAATTATCAAAGATCTAGCACAGGAGCATTCCCAGGAAATGGAGGAAGGGCCCCAGCTGCAGGCAACATGGAGGAGGGTGGAGCATCCAGCAGCTTCAGCTGTCACCCGGCTGTCAATCACTACATCTGCACACCCCACAGGAGACTCTCCTGTGGGCTGGAACCGATTTGATACTGCGACATCCTGAAGGACAAATAATAAATATTGCCCCCAGCCAGGAAAATGTCTTGGGGGGGCGGGGATCTCTGAAAATGAAAAAGGTTGTGTGTGCCAGTTACCTTGTTTTTTTTTGGTCTTTTTTGTTATTTTGTCTTTTTTTTTTTTTTTTTTTTTTTTCTGAAGCTGAGGACCGAACCCAGGGCCTTGCGCTTGCTAGGCAAGCGCTCTACCACTGAGCTAAATCCCCAACCCCGAATGCTGGCTCTTGCTGCCAGTATTTAAAGCAAAACTGAAGTATTTCATACACAGTCAAGTATCAGGTGGCACCGAAGGGCTTGCCAGCAGGAGGAGCCACTCTGTCTAAGCGCTCCCGATCTCATGGGCACCCACTCTCCAAAAGGCAGAAACTGAAGTTAGTCCATTTCCATCAGAGCTACCTTCCAAAGCAGAGCTTTAAAGAGTATGCCAGGCTGTCAAGACGGACACGTGAGATACCAGGAGCCCTCGGGTGCACATAAATCAGAAAAAAAAAAAAGAAAGAAAAACAAGAAAAGTCTTATCATACAAGATTAGGCACCAAGGAGGACAAGGTGTCACTACGGCAGCACCCACCATGACAGCAAAAGACGTCTAAAATAGCAAGGGCCAGGATCCACCAGCCGTAGCCTGGGCCAGAGTGCTGATGGGAGTGAGGCTTTATGGGGGCCGCGATAAGTTTCTTAGACCACAATTGCTGACAAGTAAAATAGCCTTTGCGTAAAGGAGACCAGACACACACCATTATACTGGGTCAGAGGGCTGAACCAGTGAACAACAAAATTCCATGGGATTCAGAAGCTGCTTCCAGTTCTGAATTTCATCTTTACAGATGAGAATAACTATAACAAGGTGGGTTTTGTTTTTGTTTTTTAATGAGAACTGCCATATCAAATACAAAAAAGCTTAAGTCTCATATGGGCATAGAATCATCATGTTGGCTGAAGAAGAGTTGAACCTACGGAATAGACTAGAAAGGCCCAAGGAGGAAGTCTCATATGAGTAAAACTCCACACTGATAAAAACAGAGTCACAAGCTCTGCGGAGGACTGAGCACTAACCACTAGCCATGTTGGGAATGTATTGGTATCTCAGGAAAAACAAGTCCTGTGTGTACCTCACACTGCTCATCAGAACAATTCCACATTCCATAAAGATGTGACCTTTAGAAAGGATGCTGGGCAGTGGTGGCGTACACCTTTAATCCCAGCACTCAGGAGGCAGAAGCAGGCAGATCTCTGAGTTCGAAGCCAGCCTGGTCTACAGAATGAGCTCCATGACACCCAGGGCTACACAGGGAGACCCTGTCTCAGGGAGAAAAAAGGTCTTGAAAATGGGTACAAAGTAGACTTATTCTAGAAGCAGGCAGACAGCTCCCATCTGTCATTCCAGCATGTAAGAAACCGAGGTAAGATGACTGTCGTGAGTTCAAGGCCAGCCTGGACTACAGAGTGCATTCCAGGCTGGCCTGGGCAAAAGAAAGAGACTATATCTCAAAAAAAAATGTTTAACAATAGATAAATGAATAAATTCATCCTAATAGGATAAATAATGGGCCTTTTTTAAGTCACAGAACTGAACAACAGGTTCTGGCCTTTAAATCGGGAGAGTCTTACAAGGAACAGAAGAAATGCCTAGGAAGAGCATCAGAGGCAGCATCTCCCTCCGAGATGTTTAAAATCCCCCTGCCGCTCTCTGTTTTAGTTTTAAAGGGACTTTCGTGTTCATGGGTGTATCAGTTTGGGCTGCCTTTTGGTAGATGGTTCAAAGAGGTAGGAAGGTCACTGGAATACTCTGTCCTCTTTGACATGGTTGTTTTGTCTCGGGGAAGTAGCTACAGACTGGCGATTTTACATTCTAGCATGAACACTGTGCTAAGTCTTGTAAAACTGAGCTGGGTTTGGCGACACACACAGAGAACAGTGCACTCAGGTCCTCAGAGACTCGCTTAAACTTAACACAAGGAAAATGGCAAAATGCCAGCTGTGGCCCCAGTGACCTTTGAACTTCTTCCTTTGTGGTCCTGGAACAACATGACTGTATGGCACTGACCAGTTCTTTCTCTGTGCTAGAAATCCCAATGACGTGTAGATTTTGAAGGTAGAATGAAACAAGTTCTCCACTGTTTCCTAAATGTCTTTTACATTTTTACTTTTTCTTGACCAAATAAAGTCACCCAATACCTGTAATGCAGAGAGTGGGAAACAAGCAAGCACAGTAGTGCGTTTCTCCAGTTCCCTGATCACCAATTTCTTTCCCCCTAGCTTCTCCCCATAAAATTATACCCCCTCTAAAAATGTGCACACCACTATGCTTTCAGCATGTCTCCAATGCACTTATTATTGTGTGCATATTCAAAGCATAAAAACTTTTAGCTGAAGCCAGGAGGTGGTGGTGCACACCTTTAATCCCAGCACTCTGAAAGCAGAGCAGGTGTTTGAGTTTGAGGCCAGCCTGGTCTACAGAGTGAGTTCCAGGACAGCCAGGGCTGTTACATAGAGAAACTCTGTCTCGAAACAAACAAACAAAAAAACTATTAGCTGAGATAAAAATAATAGATAGTTTTGACATAGGGAGATGGTTATATAAGGAGAAGAAGGGAGAGGACCACTTACAAGTAAAGCCTGATGTTGGGGGCTGCAGACCCCTGGCCCCTTGACTTTCTTTGCCTGCCTCAGACCCTTTGCCTGCTGGAGTGAGCTGAGCAAAACAACTTGTTTTCCTGAGCCTGCAGCTGCTCTGAGCACAAGACCCTGATGGCAGGGGAGTGGGTTCTGGTGAGACCTGCAGCTGAAAGATCTCGAGAGCTGAGGCGTGACTATCAGTTAAGGATCCCTATATAAGTTGACATTCTTGTATCAAGGATGACTCATGTCCCCGTGTCTCTGTCCGTGTGCATATGTTTTTAAGTCTCCAGCCTAGTTCCCGGTTCGCATACCATAGAGCATAAAGTAGTTGTGTTTTACAGCCTGAGGCTAGGGTTCTACAGAAGAATGTAACTGCATGTCATGTTTTTATATAATTCTGTAAAGTGTAGAGAAATAACATATATCGCAAAACTCCAGACTATTGGTTGTGACTCTTAGTTTGGAACATGGCTTTGGTGAGACTCACCCCTGCTCACCTTGGTTTCGGTCCTAAATATCTTTTGAATCCAGCTTGTCACAACATCAGAAGTAAAAAGACCCATAATGCTAACTTGAGTTGTTGAAGTCCTGTTTGTAAATTGCTTTATTCTCAATAAGGTCCAGACTTTAAAACTGGGATCTTAAAAGCAAGAAGGGGGGGCTGGGGGTGTGGCTCAGTGGCAAAGCACTTGCCTAGGGTTCACAAGGGTATGGGTTTGAGGCCCACCTCAGTCAAAGGAGCTTCCAAAGAGCCAGAGGTGGTAACATTTTTAAAGTACAAATATTATTGCTTTCAAAACTCCTACATAAGTTTCAAATTTAATGTTCATTTTAGTCACTGTACATATTAAAGTTGTGTGGGAGAAAACTGAAATGTTCTTGCTGATGTCTGTTTTGGGAGGAACCAATTGTGGTAATCACTTCTGTAACATGGGAGAATTACAGCCCAAACGATAACGTTGGACAGATGGCCTGAGAATGCCTGGGAGGGGTCAACAAAAGACCCGAGCACATTTTCAGGGGTCTGAAGAACTGTGTGAATTCTATTTAGGTTGGTAGTTTTAGAATGCTTTTGCTGGACTAGACATATGGCTTGGTGGCAGGGCATTTACCTACCACACATAAGGTTCCTGGTTCGATCCCCAGCTTTGCTAGCACAAAGTTATTATTGGTATTTTATTTTTGACAAAATGCACAAAGGGGAAGGCAGATCAGCTTCCAGAAATCCAACACACTAATACTAAACACTTTTTTTTGGGGGGGGGGGGTACAGGGTTTCTCTGTAGTTTTTTGGAACCTGTCCTGGAACTAGCGCTCTCCCCCCCCCCCCCTCTCTTTCTAGACAAGATTTCTCTGTAGCTTTGGAGCCTGTCCTGGAACTAGCTCTTGTAGACCAGGCTGACCTTAAACTCACAGCAATCTGCCTGCCTCTGCTTCCCAAGTGCTAGGATTAAAGGCATGCACCACCACCACCCGGCAACACTTTTTTTTTTAAGGACAAAGTTTCACATATTCTTCTTTGGGTTTAGAGAAAAGCCAAGACAATACAACTCAAGTAAAAAGCAAATTCCTCCAAGTTCAGTAATGAAGTGTGATCCCTGTAGTAACTGATACTTGTTGCTATTTTCTTGGTCATTTGTCTGTTTCTTGGTTTGCTTTGAGGCAAGGTCTTTGCAGCCCAAGCTGGCCTCAAACTCAGGGTAATTCTTCTGCCTCAGTTTCTGGAGTGTTGAGGTTATAGGTGTGAGTTCATGCATGGTTTAACAGTTGATTTTTTTTTAATGTTATATCTGCAACTGAATAGTAGGCACGTGCCAAGCCAAACCTGGCTGTGAGGACCTACCGTGATTAGCCTGGAAGTATCCATGTTGTTAGAATGAAGAATAGCAAGTAAAACAAAAATGACTCATTTGCTCTGATTTCGGTCAAGAAGAGAC